ATTAAATAAGTTGGGCTTATTTAACTTAACTTCAGTCCAAGCCCAGTCCTGGGCAAAAACATGAGACCCTATCCAAAAAATAACTAAGGCCAAAAAATGGGAACTTGGCTCACATGGTATAGGGCCTACCTAGCAAGTGTAAAGCCCTGAGTTCAAACCTCAATTCTACAAAAAATTCCTTAAAATGTAACCCTGCATATGTGCATCAATATGATCATTTGATATCTTGGTTTATATTTGTCTTTCTTTTTCTTTGTCCTCCTTTGCCTTGTACTACTGTCTCTCACCTTCCAAACATGTATTAGTGTCCCTCTTCCACTAGGTTAATAATCTAATATGTACCTTTCCATGATTTTCTTTATGCTTTCATAGACCTATCTATACATACACCCACATATATTCAAAGTTATATGACATTGATTTAGTAGCAATAGATAGTATTATACGTGCTTTTCAGCATGCTACTTTCTTCCCAAACTAAACTTCTTAGAAGTTAGTGCAATTCAACTGAAATAATGTTGATTTTTTTCATTTTAATGTTTCTATAGTATTCAATATAAAAGATATAACTTTAGTTAATTCAGCTATAACCACATTGCATTCTCAGTATGGATCCTTCAAATATTCTCAGTAATATTCTCCAAAAACTCTTGGTGTTTATGACCCAAGATTTAAAAATCCATCAGCTCAGAGTACATCACACTTACAATCAGAAAACCTGGGCTTAGTTTTCACCTGTTACACTTTTACAATTGTCAATAAATTGTATAACTTTCAATTACATGTCTCTATAAAAAAACAAGAAAATAATTAAGTGAAAAATTATAACTAGTTGCTTCACAAAGTGGCCCGGTAATGATTTTCCTTATGCAAAAGAAAAGAAATTCATCAATAAAGCAGAAAACAGCCCTTTTCTGTATTCATGATGCTACCTTCCATGAAGGTATGAATTTATGGCCCTAACATTACCACAGTATAATGTATTTGCCCTGTAGAATTCCTTCTCCATGGGTGGGGGTGGCACTGTGAATATGATGGGTTTCTTTGCTGTGATTCTATGTTATAGGATGAAAGTGAAGTTTCCAAATCAGTTGATTTTGAGTTAATCAAAAAAGAGAGTGTCTTCAGTAAGCATCACTTAATTAGGTGCCAGCTCTCCAAGTGTAGGGGATTTGAAGAGAGAAAGAGAATTTCTTCCGCATACAGCCATATTGTGAGAGGGCGCAGGGTTAGGACCTGAGGATGTCCTTGGAGCAAGAAGCAACCTGGCCAACAGCCAGCAAGGAAATGAGGACTTGAGACTTACAGCTGCAAGCAACTAAATTCTGTCAACATCTAATGAGGAGCCTGGAAGAGGACTCCAGGTCACAGATGAGATCACAGCCTCACATTGTGACTTCCACCTTGGAGCAAAGGACCCAGTCATGCCATGTCTGGACAGTTGACCTATAGACGTTGGAGGAAATAAATGAGTATTTTTTAAAATCACCTAGTTTTTGGTAACTGGTTATGTGGCAACAGGAAACTAATACAGTGACCTTGGAGAAGAAATAAAGTGCACCCTCCCTCACACACATAAACACACACTATAAAATGAGATAGGAAGCCTAACTCACTAGGTTTCTAGTTATAAAACACTCTATTTTTATGATTCTACTGTAGATAAAAATCAATGCTGTCTTTGCTTGATGCTATCAGTATGTGTTTAAGCATATAACACTAGGGATGGTTAGCATTTCTTTGAAACACTGCTCTTATCCACAACCTCCAATTTTAGGGTGTCATTATAATGATTCACATATTTTCTAGGTCTGGCATATTTTGTAGGTATTCTTATATTAAATAAGAACCTCCAGGCAGATTCTTAAAGAATGCTTGCTTATGGGGGTGAAGGAAATGGTAAGCCATTAAGCAATGGCAAAGGAGGAGCGACTTCGGAAGTAGTTTAGCTATCATAATGATCTCTTTATCACCATTGGTCACACTGGCCACACGCAACATTGGTTTCGAGATAGTCTTGAAGATGGCCTTCTAATGAAATGCGCACACAGCTGTATTGGTGGGAGGTACACATACCTCAGCATGAGGATCCACTGCCCAGATCAACACAGGCTGCATGTTTAGCTGCACTGGGGCCCATCACATGGGGCAGTTTGTCCTCTATTCATCCCTTCAATAACAGACTAAGAATTTTAAGTGAACTTGATGTGGTCTTGAAGTATAGATCTCTCTTTCAAAAAAAGAAAGTAAATGCATAGAATTTCACTCCAAACAAAATAATTGCCTATAATAATTTCCTAAGATTGCCATAACATGTTACCACAGATTGAATGGTTTAAACAAGGAAACAGGAGAAGTTGGAGGATGAAGAAGAGCAGTGGAGGTGGTGTGAACTCAAATATGATATACTTGATACATTGTAAGAATATTTGTAAATGTAAATGCCACAAGGTACACCCAAACAGCACAACAATAAAGGGATAGATAGATAAATAATAGAAATTTATTCTCTCACAACTCTGGAGGTTAAAGTGAAAGCCACGCTGCTCTCAGAGGCTGTAGGGAACAACACTGACTCTTCCAGCTTCTGGTGCATGTCCTCGAGTTCCTTATCACTCTGCTGTCTGGTCTTCATATTACCTTCTCCACTGTGTGCAGGTCTCAGATCTTCCTCTACCTTTCTCTTACAAGTGTCTTTCCAATTGGATTTAGTCTATCTTTATAACCCAGAATGATCCCACTTTGAAATCTTTAACTTAATTACATATGCAGACTCTTTTTTCAAATAGTCACTTTCACAGGTTTCAAGGATTTCCACTAGGACATATCTTTTCAGGGCCTCCATTCAACCCAATTCCCTGGTTCTTTTTGTCCTTATTTGTCATGGGTAGAATTGTACTTCTCCTCCTCCCTTTCAAATTTCCATATGTTGAAGTCCTAGCTCCCAGTATCTCAGAATGTGAACTTATTTGGAAATAGGGTTGTTGCAAACATGATTAGTTAAATTTAAATGAGGTCATCTGGGGAAGTTTTAATTCAGGGTAACTGGTATCCTTATAAAAAAGACATGAGCACAGGCAGCATGCCATATCAAGATGAAGGCAGAGCTTGGGTTTCCAAAGATTGCTAGGAAGCCACCAATAAGTGACAATGATGAAACAAATTCTCCCTCACAGCTCTCCTGAGGGACCAACCCTATAGATACCTTGATCTTAAACTTCTAACCTCCAGAACTGTGAGATAATAATTTTCTTTTATTTAAGCCACCAGTTTGTGTACTTTGTAATGGCAGCTGTAGCAAATTAATACATTAAACATATATAAATTTCATTTAAAATGATGATACTCGTTACAGCTTTGTAATCTATAATAACGTTGCATTTTATCTATGAATATTCCAATGAAAGTATGCTTTTTGTTTTCTACTGTATAAATAATTGTAATAAATGTGTAACTGTCCATACATTTCTCTTTTTGTGCATTTCTTAAGAAATGTGTATACATTTCACAAAAGGGAATCCTTTGTCAAAAGGTCTAAAACAATTTAAAAAAAAGAAATGTGGTGCTAAATTACTTTCCAAAGAGTTGCAAAAATTTATCTTCCATCTATTATGTGATAAAGGATCTCTACACCTCACCAGCATTTGTCAGTATCATTTCAAATACTGTCACCAGTTTTGAGGACACATTCAGATTTATTTAGGGGGAACAGAGGGAGTAATAAAAGGTGTATTCATTTGGTCCTAATTTATTTTCCCACTTTCTGGCAATCACTAAAAGAAATTAGGCAGTGTCTTTAGACTACACTTTGCTTAAGATACTTGGTTAAGGAAAATCCCGTAGCAGAGAATTCAAGATGGATGTGATTTTTTTTAATCATTTATTCCGACTTTCATGAATCCAAATTTATTTCTTTAATTGCATGCCGATTGTTGTAATGAGAATGCGAACGGCTTATAAGGAGTAATATTCCCTTCGGGGTTTTCTTACTTAATACCGCATATTTATCTTCCACATTGTCTAGGGAATTAGGATGGGCGTTGGCTATTTTTCAGCACTTCCTGGTTGAGGACAAGGGCTCCACTTTCGTACCTGCCCATCCCTCCACAAGTCTTCTTTGATAGCTCCAGTTTTTCTGTTTAAAATTTAACAAGGACCACATTCTAACAAAGCTACCAAAAGGAAACACTTCAGGAGACGCGCTGCTGAGCACAGCTGGCTCCGGGCTGCTGGCACCTGTGGTCCTAGAAAGCCTCTTACCCGCATACCCATCCTACCCACCCTGCACGCATGCAGAGCCCGACCTCTGCTTCCCAAACTCCAAAAGGGTGTGAGAAAACAGTGCCTTCAGCCTCCTGCCACCCCCGCCCTCAGGCCCTGGGGTTTAAAAAGCCTTTGCAGCATCTGGTGCACATACTGAAGCATCCTTCTACGGTGTGCCATGCATGCACAGCCCGGGCAAACTGGGATCTGTGGCTGCCTCCTGTTCTGCTGTGGGGGAATGGTTCGTCCTCTAAGCGATCAGAGAATGAATGAATGTCAAAATCTCTCTCTCTCTCTCTCTCTCTCTCTCTCTCTCTCTCTCTCTCTCTCTCTCTCTCTCTCTCTCTCTCTCTCTCTCTCTTTCTCTCTCCCCCCACCCCCCGTCTCCCTCCCTCTTCGTTTTCTCTCCTCCCCTCCCTTCTCTCTTCATCTCTTCAGTGTGTCTCTTTCCAAGGTGTGGAGCTGTCTTTTTTCCAGGCCAGAGAGGGCGCCCTTCCAGCTAACTTTCTCCTCACCCACCGGTTTAAAACATGACATGCAGGGGGGGGGTTGGGATCCCCCAAAGCCGAGGTGCAGCCGCGAGCCTCGGCCAGCCGCTGAATGAATGGAGGCTGCGGGGAGGGCGGCGCACGCCCTCGGTCGCGCGCCACCTGCGGCCTGCAGGCCCCGCGGCCCTGCGCCCTCCTCCCGCCCGGGGCGGCTCTGCCGCGGCTCGGCGCCCGGCGGCGGCGGGGAAGGTCGGAGGGAGGGTGGTTCCTCCGCCCCACACCCAGCGCCGAGCCGGATATATAGAGTGGCACGCTTGGGAGCCGAAAGACCAGAGCAGTCTCCTGGTGGCCGAGTACCTGCCGTACCCTCGGGCAGCGCCGGAACTTAGCGGAACACTAGTTGAACCCACCCCGAGCCGAGCAGGTACTCCAGGGTCCTCCGCCAGCCGTGCGCAGAACCCCCGCGCCCCAAAGGACGGCGCACCGGGCCGCGCGATCCGGGAGGGAGAGCGGGTCTTCGCGGGCCTCAGGAGGGCGGGTGGGAGGGCGGACCAGCGGCTGGGGGATAGCTTTTCCCGCCGTCCTGTCCCCCGGCCGCCCCGCCGCACCCCGCTGTCCCCGGCCCTTTAGGCACGATGGGCGTCGGCAGATCCCGCCTAGGTATGGCGTGTCGGGGCGAATCCGTGGCGAGCGGGAAGGTCCGGGAAAGATCAGCATGGGGACTTCGCCGTGGTGGCCGAGGACCGAGGGAGAGAGACGTCGGGCTGGGTCCCACCAGAGGCCTTCTTGGCCTCTGGGGTGAGTCCGGGGCCACGTGTGCAGCGGCGCGCGCTGCGGAGAGAGCCGCAGCGCATCCTCCCTACCCCGACCCCACCCCAGGCAGCGCGAGTCCAGACCCTCCACTGCGGGTGGGACTCGCCAAGGTCGCTAACCCCAGGCTGAAGGGCACTAGGGCAGCCTGGAGGGCACTGCTCCCGTTGGAAGTTTTTCATCTCTTCCCGCGACCCGGGCTTCGTGGAGAGAGCAAGGGAGCAGGTGCTCTAAGCCTCCACATGGAGCAGGTGGGTTGCTGGAAAGCTGCTCACACCCCCCAGAGAGCAAGATTATCCGCGGGGCAATTTCTGTCAGTTAAAAACAATACATGCCCAACCTTATTCTGGATAGAATGTGTCCCACCTGCCAGCCGCCTTACTCTGTCCCCTTTCAGGGTAGGTAGACTTACGAACATTTTTTTCTTCCGTGGATGAATTGCCTAGTGCAAGAATTTGGTAAGGGGATGAATCATGCAGAATTCTCCATTGTGCATGAGCCAGGACAGAGTGGGGACAGACAGCAAAGTGACTAGGAAACTAATGGATTGGGGTTTCCTGTTTGAGGCTGTATCCAGAGGAGTTTGAGGCTCTGTGCAAATGGAGATTTGAGAATTACCTTGGGGTTGCCCTTATCCATCTCTCTGTTACGTCTTTTTAGATAAGCTGGAGATTTGACTGATGAACATATTTAGTCTAAAACTTACAAAAGAGGGCAAAGAAACTAAACAAAATTTAAGCCAGACACCTAAGCAACAAGAGCAGGCATTTCAGCACACTTCATATCAGCGTGGGGGATCCCTAGAGATGGCCACCAGGTTTGTACTGGCCAAGACTCCAGGCTGTAACATTTCATCTGTAGTCTCTCTTAGGATCCAGGTCTTCATAGTACTCTTACCATTTCTGAGGAAAGTCCTACCTTACTCTGTTTTCTGACATTGGGCTGTAATTATCTACAAAATAGATGTAACTGACCCTCAGTTGGTAAATCTTACCTCTGCTGGAGAAATTGAAGTGATAATATAGTTCCCTAAGGAGGCTAAATGTGACTCAGCTATAGAAGAGAATCCCCCCCCCCTTTTTTGAACTTTCCTTTAAGGGACTGAAAAATAAATAAATAGTTCATCTTTGGGTATCTCTTTAGGGTTTATCAAGAATATGGTCCCCTTGACCATCTCGCCATTTGCCTTCCTTTCTTCTACAGATGTATTTAGCATCTGCTTCGGGCAGCATTTGGTCAGCCCTAAGAATTCCTTGTTTTCATGTTAATTCCCATGTGGTCATTAAAACTCACTCGCAATTCAGTTTCTTGGAGGGTCTTGCCCAGTGACCACCAGCATGCTTGTCTTCTGCCAATATATTCTGACTTTGTGGCTTCTGTGGGAGCATTTATTACTCTTGAAAAAAGCACTCTTAATGCTTTATTTTGTTAACAGACCACTGTGTATCTGATAAAAGCCATGGAATAACAAACACATGAACATTAACACAGAATTCAGCTTATACTTTCAGGAGTTCACATCTCCCAACGTCCAAACACTCACATTCTAGACATCCAGAGGTCCCAAGCAAGGCCAGTTTGCGGGAATGCAAATTCTGTCTGTGCACAAAGCCCTACACCTAGAGACATTTGTTTTAATGTTCCACTGTCACTCTCTGCTGTCTTAATAATTGTTCAAAAAAGAGACTATAGATTTTCATTTTGCACTGGACCCTGAAAGTTACGTCCAGACCCCAAGCTGAAAACTCCATTCTAGAACTGACTGAATAACAGCTTTGTCTCACAGCAATCACAGTTTAAGGCTAATATTCCATCACAAACCTGAAGTTTAGTTGCTGCTTACTTAGGTGCCCTCAAACATATTATTAAGCTCTCTATCTTCGTTTCCCCATGGCAAAATAAACACGACAGACAATATATTCTATTTTATTTATCTTAAAGGTGGTTGTATCATCTCTGGATAAAAAAGAGATAATAGTTGTAAAAATGTCTGCCGACCTTGAACTGTTTCATGCTAACAAAGACGGTATTGTTACAAGATTAACCTTTCCACTCCATTTTTCAGAAGTAGCTTGAGGAAGATTGATAAAGCACTTTAAACAAGTTGCAGAACCTTTATAACCCTTATATTTTAATAAAAAGAAAAGTAAATAAATAGTAGTATTTTAAACATTTCTTATGTATTTTTATTTGGACAAGATTGGAATTGGCAACTAAAAGTCAAGAATAACTTCTTGGATCCCCAAAACACTTCCTAAATTAAATTAATGTTTGGGTCTAATTCATGCACAAATTGAACAATGAGAGAGTGAGTCAACAATTGAAATTTTCTTTAGGAAAGAGTCTTCTTTGCTTTATTTAATTTTAAAAAATCTGTGTTTCAGTCTTAACTGACTTGCCCTTTAAATATCTAAGAGATACCTAATCAATATAAGTTGTCTTCACATTCATAATTCTGGTGCCTGCTAAAGTGGAACCGAGAAAGCCTGGGCCAGCCCTCTGAGCCTACACTCCTTCCTCGACTAATTCTCTCTGAAGCTAGAACTCACTTATATGCTACCTTTCCTTCTCAGTCTGAAGACAACACATTCAGAATTCTTGAGCAAGAATATAGAGTCAGAAGAAATGGATTAACTCCCATAAAGGGGCATGAGAAGGGGCAGGTGAAGATGCCATCTTTTGCATACCACTCTGTGCAAAGACATGGCTTGTACTTCAGGATACAAAGTAGTTCAATAAACTTGTGACCTCATTAGCAAGACAAAATATGAAAATATAAGGTATTAATTACCAATTGCAAGTAAGTTGTTGCAAGGCAATAGAAGGTTAGGCACTGAATGATGTTGCAGAAAGGGCAATGAGTTCCCAAGAAGAGAATAAAATAAACTGAAATGCTGAGGGAAGCTGAAGAGGAAAGATGAGATGAGCCTTAAAGTTTTGGTCCTCATAGAGATTAATGAATGAGACTTTTTGGATGTTAAGTGTGTGAAAAAGGAAAATCCAGATGGAGCTAAATTTGCATGTAAAGAAAAGGCAAGGGATAAAGCCAGAGAGAAATTCCCACTGCTTGCCTTCATTCATGAAATGTGTAAAATTATTAAGCCTATTCTGTGATCAGACATCGTGACAATTTTTCCACATTTAGTGTTGAACAAAGTAGATGTGCTCCCTATCCTCTTCAAACACACAGACATTTACAGAATGAATGCATAATAACAAATCATGAGGAACAGTATGGAGAATAGCTTTGTTTTGCTATGACAAAAAAAACCACAGGTACTGATTCAGGTTTGCTGCTCTGGCACAAGGTCATTTACAAAGAAAGATTTCAGTTGATATTTGAAAGAGACATAGGGGTTAACTTGAGAGAGAGAGAAAGAGAAGCAATCTGGTCAGAGGAAATTGCAAATGGAGAGAGGAGGCCCTAAGGAGAGAAAAAGCTGGAGTGTTCAGGGATCAAAGAAGGCACACGTGGCTGCTGTATAAGTTTGCTGCTGGAGGTGTTGGATGTGTGTGGGGTGAGGTGCACAGAAGGTGACATACAAAACTTCATGCATCTTTGTAAAGATTTTGAATTGTTTTAGTGGGAAAACATTGTAGAATTTTAAGCCAGAGACTGCCCTGATTTATATTTTAAGGATATTCATATGGAGCCAGGAACAAGAACGAACTGAAGGCGTAAAGGATTGGAAGAAGGAAGACACATTAGGACGAAGTGCAGCAAGAGTGCAAACAAGGAAGAGGCAGAGAAGTGCAGAGACTTGAGATATAATTTGAAAGTAGGGTTAATACTACTGAGTGATGGATTGGATAGGAGAGATGGGTAAGGCTGTAAGAAGCGTGAGAATGAGTTCCATCAATAGATACCATTGAATGTTTAAATGCAAGACAATAGGTTCACGTGCATGTAATTTATAGTTGCCATAAGAACTGAAAAATAAAATGAAAACTAATGACCGTGGTATCTTTGAAAAGTATACTGGCTTTGGGATGGGAGAAAAAGGAGGGAGAAATTGATTGCTTTTCGTAGTGTCTTCTATACTGTTTGAATTACTTTTAAAACTATGCATTATATAATTTTTTAAAGGTTATCACCTCTACAGATATAGCTCCTGATGTTTTTCTGGCTTGAACACATAGATAGAAAATAGTGCAGTTTCCTAAAATGGCAAAAACTAGGGGAGAAAAGTGTGATTCTCACCAAAGGGATTGTTCTAAAATAGAATTCATTCCCTTGTTTAAAACCTTTCTCTCCTTCCTTGTCCACAGCAGTGTTTCCCAGAATGTATTTTGTGAATCATTAGTTTCTTGGGATATTACTAATAGTTAAGTGAAGGAAAAAAGCTTACCACTTGATTTAACCTAGATAAGTGGTTTTATTGCAGGAATCCTCAGAGCCTTTAATATATAGTAGTGCACATTAAGAATCATCAAAAAAGGAGGCACACTTTATGTCACATTTCTTAAACTTACTTGACCTTGAAGTTCTTTTTCTGGCAGAACATCTAAGAGTCAGCATGCAGCATAACATCCTTTGGGAAAGGCTGCTCCATATTAATAGATTAAACTTTTTAACATCCACAGCTCTCCATTAACCATAAGCTTCTCTCATCT